TGCTTCTCAGCACATTCAATAATTACATGAACTCGTTAATTGTTAATAACGTAAAATCAATATGCTCTTATTTAATCGTTTTAAAGATATCGTTCGCATGTTAAAGAAGAATATTTAATTATTATGGTTTACATATAACTTTCATTTAGTTTGGGAGTCATCGTAAATAATATAATAAAACTTCGAAGAGAAGGATCATCAATGCAATCATTGGCAAAAGTATTTCCAATGAAAAGTAAGACGTTCAGTATGAATTAACGAAATCGAGCCTTCGATATATAAGAAATTATGCCTCTTAACCAAACCATAGTCAATAAATAAATAAATAAATAAATAAATAAATAAATAAATAAATAAATAAATATATAAATAAATAAACTAGCGTATCTTAAATTTCATAAGAAAAAAAGAAAATTCCAAGCACGACAATTCTATCAATGTTGGCATCGATCTTGCAGATGCGCATCGACAACCAAACAAATATGCATTTACATACATAGACAAAAGCGAATACACATGTAAGCACACATACGTTCTCGGAAGACAATCTGTTCGGTACACCGTGTACGCTTAATAATTTTCGCGTAAAAGTAGGACCTCGAGTAGAGCTCTATTCATGCTTGAATAATAATCGTAAATACTTCCTTATCAGCACGAGCCGCGTGAAAGAATCTCGAGTGCAACGTATATAAATACTAACCATTGCCAAACTCTCTTTTATCTCGCGCGGATTTACGCACGTAAATGTATCTATATGTATGCGCGGGCAAACAGATTATGCAGCAGCCAAGAAAATAATACGATAAACTACGCGTCTCATAACAATATCTTTTGAGCCATTGACACAGACGGTGACGTTTATGACATACGTAATACAGTTTAACCACCATAGCCTATTACGTTTCTTATACACTTTCTAACTAGCACTGCATATACCACTTATAATTCATATTGTAATATATCATTTGTATTATAGATACTCCGTAGTTTATTTATTTACGTGTTGTTGCTTATTTTTATATGTATACATTTTTTCTTTCTTTCAAATGTATTTATGTGTGTTTGTTTGTTAGTGCGTGCGTGAGTTCGTATATATATATATATATATATATATATATATATACATAGAGTATTTGTATTAGTAGTGGCTAGCACGCGTTGAAATCAAGGAGGTAACGCGCGGAACTCGAAGTGCAACCTCGCGTCTCCGTACGACTACATTTAGTACTCTCTATTATTCCCTTGCCTTTTCTTATTATTCCTATTCGTTTTATTATTATTATTATTATATATATATATATATATATATATATATATATTTTTTTTTTTAACACTCACTTTTATTAAAGCGTATATGCATCAAAGATAGATTATATTCAGAATAACAACACATAGATAAGAAAAAGGTGTTATTCGTTTGTATTAAAAATTCACGAGAATATAAAACAAAGGCGCGTATGCAAAGTTGAGAATTAGAGATTCGTCGGGGTTATGAATATTTGTAATCTTTCATAAGATATTTGTAATTATAGATTTTTTAGACGCGATTATAGTGATGTTAATAGCCAGTTAATAATATAAATTTTTACAATAAATTGTTTGACAGACTTCGGTTATTTTAGTTTTATTTTCAGGAATACAACGGCGTATTTCAATAAAGCGAATAAAAGTATATGGTAAGATAATATATGGCAATGTTGAATTCACGGATATACGGAAGCTTTTAATTTTCCATAGTTATATCTTCAACGATTGTATTATTTTTTCTCAAATAATCTTCATAATATAAAAAACTTAAGACCGCCTTAACTCACATCCAACAAAGACTTAGGAAAACAATTTTTTTTTCAAACGATAACACGATATTTTTCCTTTTAAATATACTTTGTAAGTTTTATTCGTACGTTCATTACTATGATATATATATATATATATATACTCATATGATTTTTTTAGAATAGAGAATATTGCCGATCATCCTTTTATGTACTCGCATATCTTTCATACTGTTTCCGCTAAATTTAATAAAAAAAAACACTATGATTTTCTGCACTCAAAGCTATCTGTATTAATATCTACTCAAATATCATTAATGAAAATGTATTACTAATAATAAGACCTTTGCTCATTATGTTTATTGAAAATACCGCTTTGTCAGATAAATTTGATAGTGAAAATATCTTTATAAAATATTAATTTGTCTTTAATTTTTAAATAAAAAAGACCATAGAAATCTATGTCAAAGATGATTTAGTTAATATATAAATGTACCGATGACATATTTGAGATTGAATGATTAAAGTAATTATAGATCAATTTTTTTCAAATATCATCAATACTTTTTTATAATAATATGTATTAAATATAGCCATGAATAATATGTCAAATCTGTAAATATTTCATATAGAACGTGTTTAATTTAATTCATTAAAAATTTCACGGTGCTTTTTAACAAAGATAAGAACCGATTCTATATTTTTACATTGATTCAATCAACGATAAAATTGAAACAATTAATATATACATATTATTGAAAAAAGTATTATACCAGCAAGCACCCAATGCTTTTCCCTGATGTAAACATTATTATTATTATTATTACTATTTTTTTTTTTACATGTTAGACTGCATAGATGCGATATGCTGAATAAAAGTTTACTTGAAATTATAAAATACACGAAAATTTGTTTTAAAATTTTCTATTAATATAATAAATCTAAGTAAACAATCTCTTTTTTAATAAGTATTTAAAAAAAAAAAAAAACTTCCATCAATTTCTCGAGATAAAAATGTCCAATTAGTTAAATCTTTTGTACAAATATATTGAGTTTATTATTTAATAAATTTTATTAGATATAAGATTGTACCATAGAAGTTTAACCACTTTTACGATTAACTATTAATAATATAATGATTAATATATAATTTTTAATTATTATTACTATTTAAGAAAATTCGACAAGTTTTAGGTACAATAAATTGAAAAATCTAGAAGTACGAAGAGGAATTTAAAAATATTTTATAAATAGAATAACTATTTTAATAACATTTTATTATTTTTTTTTTTATTAAAAAACGATATCTTCCGTTAAATTTAATTTTCTAATTTCAATTATTCTTTATTTTTTACAACGTTTTGTAAATATACTTCTTTGTGCTCTAATATTATAGGCTCTGTGATTAATTTTCAAATTTTCGCTGGGATTTATCAATATAGATAAATAATATATATATATATATATATATATATATATATATATCTATATAAAGATATGTTAAAATTTATATATGTCCAATTAATAATTAATTGAAAATAATTATAAATCTACTTTTGTATTGAAGAATAAGTCTGTGTTGTTTAATGATTATTATTGTACTAACAAAGAAAGTTTTTCTTTCAAATTCGATAAAAATTTTCAAAAGATATTCAGAAAATTGAACTAACGAATTTAATAATAAAATCATAAATAGTAATTGGAGCAAAATTACATTCTCATCGGCGCAATATATAATTTGGTTATAAAGACAGACATTTACTAGAAAAATATGGTAAACCGTTGAATATTTCGATCGCTCAAATTAGTATTTTACATTAGCAATTCAATATGCTAATCAATACTTTATTGCTTTTCTTCTAATTTCGGTTAAATTAACAAACCTCAAAAGTTGTTTGCTTCCTAAGTGAACTTTTTTTTCGATAAGAATTGTTGGGAAACTTAGCTATGAATAATCATTATTAAATTTATCAAGTAAAATTGAAATGTGATAAATTATACAACTAAATAAACTATGATTCCACTGTTTTAGTATCAGAATACATAATACATTAACTTTTATATTATTATTATTATTAAATTAAAGTAAATAAATTTAAATGAAAATTATTAGCTAGTAATTTAGATAGAAAGTTAATATTTAATAAGAAAACAAAGAGACAATATTTTACAATACCGAGTAATGGAAACTAGTAAAGTTCTGCGTATCCGATTCAACTTCTTGCCTACGAGTACGAACACATACTGACTTGAGTGCTCCAAAGGTACACCTGAGATTTTTTTATTTAACCAGATTACTCTGTAATTATGCACGCTTTCGTTGTTATTATTATTATTATTATTATTATTGTTATTATTGTTATTATTGTTATTATCTGCGTTGTTTTCTTCGGTTGTTCTTCTATTACAATCGCATGCATTGCTGACAATTTCATGAAAACTGCGCATGTTTATATATAATAGGTCCAATCACAAGATTCGTAATAAAATGAGTATGATAAATATAATTAATTGTACGTGAATGAGATAAATTATGCGATTCAATGAGATGACCAGGTCTCATATCGATAACATGAGCCGTATATTTTAATTCTTTTTGTCAATTTTGTCTTCACTTCCTCTTTCAAGTTAGTCTACAATAACAAGATTTTTCACAATTATACTTAATAAAACATGTAAGTTTAACTTTGCTCTTTTATACTTAACCTAAAAATTAAGCGCATAATGTCTTCGTCGTATATTTGTAACATGCGTTTACAATTCTGTATATAACAATTATAGTTATATATATATATATATATTTATTTCATCTTCTACTTTTAACGCTAAAACGTGAAATTTTTATAATTAACAAAGCAACATCGAGATAAGTAGTAAAAGCTATTACAGAAATGAATTTCGAATGATGAAATGAATATTGTAAACATGGAATGTTGCTTGATAATCGTAATTATTTTGTTAATGTTATCTTACGAAAAAATAACGATTGGTCTAATTATTGGAAATAAATTGAATTTTTATCATTATTAAGTAAAAACAGTTGTTATAAGTAAATCGAATATTAGTTCCTTGTGTGGGAAATATTTCTGGATCAGAGTTGTGGATGATTTGATCGAAATTTAAATAATAGATCAAGATTTTTAACTAAAATTATCAGTTAATAGAGATTTTTTCACACGATCATGGACTTTTCTTTTCGTTTTCACAACTCTGATGAACAATCGTTTTCAATTTCTCTCAGTTATCCAAAGGAACTTTAATTTATCCCTATTCGTTAAAGTACCCGTCGAATCAAAAAGGAAAAACGCTCCATCTTTACATTTTTATTATTTCATCTTTTCTTTCTTATTAGAGATAATAAGGAAATAGTGCATCATAACGATTAATAAGATACCGAGAGCAGACACGTGAGTTTCTTTTGTCGCGCGATAAGCCTAATTAACGAAGCCTTATAATTACATTAGCCGATTCCGTCAAATTGGCAAATGTAATAAAACTAATCCCAATCCCCCTCCCGCCGTTAAGCGAGCTTCGGCAAAGCCCGAAGAAAACCCAGCTTTGAAAAAGTTAGGCTACCTCGAGGACTATGCGAAAGTTGCTGATAGTCAAATAGAGATAGAGCGATATAGTAAACGGTGGTAGTGTGGGTGGATAGCGGTGGCGATGGGGCGACGGGGCGACGGCGGGGGTGTAAGGGGATGGGGCTAGGCGAGGTGGAGAGAAGGAGATCCCGAGGGCGCGTTCTCCCACTGAGTCTTTAAATCTACTTTTTGCTCTATTTCCTTAGTCTCGGTACGTAGAAATGTCTGAGCCTACATCAGTCTCATAGCCTTTCGTTTATCGTGAGTGAAATAGTGGGAAACGCGCGCACGAACGACGAACGACAAAAGAAAATCCGCCACATCGTCTCAAGCGGGAAAGTTGGTAAGCCGGTTGGCTTACATGTCACCGAAAATGCCGGCGAAGGTCTTCCGCAGGTTCTTCATGGTGTCCTCGCTGTCCTCGCTGCCCGTGTGGGATTGGCTGCCCTGCCGTTGGAACGGCAACCGCGAGGTCGGCGGCACCGGGGGCGGCTCCTCCTGGCGCCAGCCGACCGACGCCGCGTTGCTGCTCGTCGTGCTCGACTGGGACACTGCGCAAAAACGTGCCTCGTCAATCCTGTGCCTCCAATTGGCACGTGGGTGGCATGGTCATGGAGACCGGAAGCCGTGGGAAATTTGCCGAGGACTGCTTACTTGTCTCACTTAATATTGAGGGAGTCGCGAGGGAGTCGAGAGGAAGGAAAGCAGCATTGTCGCAATATTAATGAACAGTCAAAGAAATATTGGATGCAAATGTACAACATACGAAATGATTAAACTATAATCCACGAGAGCGTGCTGACTGCTACCAAATTGTTAATAGTGTTGTTATACGAATAATAGATATAAAATAGAGATTACGATAATATTGTGAGTACAATAATTATATCGTACTACCAAATAGTATTAACACAATATAATAATCTAATATTAATAGTCTAATATTATTATACGTATTCTACACTAGCAAGTTTTTCAATAATAAATGTGATCCTTATGAGAACCTCATGAAAGCACATTTGCATTACGAATGACATATTATGAATGACAATTAAATGATATATGTTATATGATTATTTAATGGTAAGGCAAATTAAATGAAAATAGTTTTTTTATTGCGCTGCATATTAATATAACAATTCATGCCTATTATTACTTATTTAAGGGCAAAATGTAAATTTTGAAGTTTTTCACTGAGGCAAGTTTAATATTCAAACATTTTATATGAACTGCAATTAATTATATGCTCTCTATATACATTAGATACTTTGATAATTAAATCACAAGATTAATACTAAAAACTTGTTGGTAATTTTGTGAAAGCAAGAAATTGTTTTATTCTTCAAAATAATGTACTGAACCTTATTGCATCATTTTCTTCTTATATATAGAAATGTCGAGCGAACAATATTATAATTTATTTATCGAGTGTTAATTTGAATATCATATTTGTGATGTACCGAATCTTTATAATTGCTCGGTGGCCTAAAAGAAAGAAAATGAGATTTATAATAAAATTTAAGGTTCTTATCTAATAACCTGACATTAATTTCATCCTGTACATTATAACATCCAGTATTTTAATTTAATGCTTCAATTGTAAGATTTTTAATATAATAGGTAATTTTATAAATTATTCTTTTTTTCTTGTCAATCATTCAGATCAATAACCAATTTACATATAACTTTTTAATAATATTTATAATAATATATCAATAATATTTAATTACTAAGAGTAAAATTTAAGAACAAGTAATATATAAATAATTTCTTCACATTACACTGATTTACTATAATTAGTTTTATGATGTTTTATCAAATCCAAATCGATCATTACTAAAATATTATTTACTAATTTGTAAATCAATACAGAATATTATTGTATAAGCGAAATAAATTCAATATTTCATTCATATTTTTTCTGTATATATAAGTATATATCATTTGTATAAAATTCATTAAATATATTTTTTACGAATTTTAACTATTGACTCAGACGTAAAAATTCTTCAACGTTATTTTTTTTTTTTATATTTTATTTTTTTTACATTAATTTTTTTTTTTTTTTTTTTTTTATTTTATTAGTTAACTCATAATAGAGAGGACGGGGAGGGGGGAGAGGATAATAAACATGTTAAACTTATATATCATTTGCATACAGCTAATTTAAATAAAAAAAGAAGGACGCTAAATATATAATTTATATAACTTCATCCTTCGGCAATTGAAAATTAATTTATAAATCACCGCCTAAACGAAAAATAACATTAAAATATATAAAAAATCAAAAACACATTGCAGACATTTAATTGAAAATCTATTGGTTAAAAATTATATAGGATTGATATGGAAAATTTTTCTATAATAACATAAAAAATTCTTTTATTTTCTATAAAAGCATGTACAAGAAAAAAAAAAAAAAAAAAAAAAAAAAAAAAAAATAGAAAGAAAAAAACTAACGATTTTATTTGTTTTTTGATATCATTGTTTTTTCGGTTTGCTCTTATTCATTTATTTTAATTGAATACCTGCGACGGCTATTCAATGGCCCACATAATGTCGAAAGGAACATTTTAATGTGCTCCCTACTCAATTACACGCGATAAAAAAATGAAACAAGCTGGATTTATTATTGCATGCTGACTTGGTAAAATAAAGCTTTAAAGACTCGCGCAAAATGTACGTAGAGTCATTTAATATCTACCGCGCATCTTAAAATATCTTAAATTAACATATTAAGTGCATGCGCACGAGGAGAGCTGAATATTTTGGCTCGCAAATGACATTAAATATTCGAGCTTTGAAATTCCTCTCCTTCGGCAAAAAGTAGATTAGCAATGAACGAGCGACGATTGGAGTGCGATTAGTGTGCACGATAAATACCCTGGCCGAGTAAGCGCTGCAGCGAAGAAATAAAAGAAGCGCAAGGACGGGAGTGCTTGGGAGCTTACGTAAGGAGTCACGGCGCTGGATCTGCTGGTGATCGGCGGTGCCGCAGATGGCCTCGGCCGTGGTCGAGCTAGTGGAGCCGACGCCGCTCGTGAGGGAGCTGCTGCTGCCGTAGGAGCCTGGTACGGGAGGAGCCCCGACGATGCTGCCGGCCAACCCGAACCCGCTATTGGTTTTCTCCTCGGAAGGGCTCGTCACGTCCAAGGAGCTCGACACCGAGCTCGTAGAACCCGCTGGTCGACAGTGAGTCTGAGATCGAGACGAGATAATTCAAGGTTAATATAACGGTGGTCCACGCTGCCGCCACGTCCTCCTCAATTTCAATGAGTCTACAATTTTCCTGCTTAATCTTTGTCATTCGTCGATAGCTACTATTCTGTCTCTTAGGTTATGATCCCTTATATTTTAATATTATAAAGTAAATAATTATCACTAAAGCAAGCGAATAGAGCTGTTGTTCACAGATAGTTGTGGTTAATTATTGATTATTGCGATGATGATTAGCTTTTCTTTTCTTTTCTTTTCTTTTTAATCTTATTAAAGTTCTTTTTTAGAATGGTGGCTATAAATATAAATGTAAGCAGCTGTAATGACGATTTAATAATTAATGAATCGATTGTCAAATCGTTAATTTTACGGAGTATCGCCTTATAATTGCAAGGAAAACACTTCTCTTGGGATGTAAATATTTTCAAGGGGAGATTACATTGAAGGCTATTCTATTAATCTTATATCAATATAAATAATTATACTTTGATAAAAACAATATTATTCTTTGAGCTTGGTTATAAATTTATAATTGACTTATTTTGTTAAGCTAAGATTTCAAAAATTAAACTTATCGTAAAGTCGCCGTAATTAATCATATGATAGGCCAGATAAAATGTACATATAAGATGACACGCCCGTTGATTTGACAAAAACCAAATCATTATGAGAAAATTCACCGTAAAAGATAAGCTTCTAATAAATCAGTGAATTTTAGCCTGAGGACTTTTTATTAGATAAATCGATGGCTTAAGATATATTTATACATTTACTCCGTCGGAATGAATGGAATTTCGACGAATACGACGTGCTAACGTCTGAAAATTAAAATTACTCCACTCAACGAGTAAATTTTGATAAATCTTATACCGTAATAATAGGAGAGTTCGTTGCATCATTTATTAATGAAAAATATAATAGCGGTATTGAGTGCCAAATCTTACAATTAATTAATATTTTTTAATCAACTGTTGGCTAATTTATTAAAAGAAGGTTAACTATTATTCCTATATCGTATCATTATTTTTATCTATCAAATTACATTAACATGATTCATTATACTATATTAACGACTTGTAAAATAACAATAAATAATGTTCATAACCAAATACTGTAAAGGAAGCTTAAATATTTATAAGTAAATATTAATAATTAGTAATGCTGCGCAGAAACGAGGAGTTCATTTTTGTGCAATGGATTACAAAATAAAATATTGCTTTGATTTTTATCGAGATGTGATATTAAAGTGAATTAATTGAATTTTTTTTGTTCACTATTTGTGATTATTATATAATGCAATACTTGGAATAAGGACATCTCCTAATTAACTTTTCAACTCAAAGTTCTACGGCTACTTGAAGTGTAGATTAAATCATTCAAAGTACATTTACACAATTGCCGAAGCTGACACTTTGACATTTGTTTGTCGGAGTTGTATCCGATCGGGACTTAACTATCATTTTATGTATATTGGTAGAGAGAGATAGAGAAAGAGAGAGAGAGAGAGAGAGAGAGAGAGAGAGAGAGAGAGAGAGGGAGAGAGTGGGAGAATGGGTGGGCGAGAGGGGAGGGGAGAAGCAGGGAGGCATTAATACATTCAGAAATATGTATAAAAAAACTTAAATAGTACATTATAAAATATAGTGAAGACTACAAATTAATAATTCGAATATTTCTAATAATTTAAATAATCTTCTATTGATGTAAAAACAACAAGTGAAAAATAATATTCGAAAATAAAGATATAAATATTAGGCGAATATTAATAGATAACTGATTTAAAATAAATTATAAATTATAAAATATAATTCGATTAATTTTTTTTTCTTTTTGTTTGCATTTGTGTATTGAAAAGTCTATATTCTTTAAGTATACATTTGTGAGAATAAAAGGAACATAAAAAAAAAACAATTTATCAAAATGCTTATCTCAGTAATACAACTTTTAAAACAAAAAATAATAGCTTTATAAATAATTATTTCATTTTAAATGGAATAAATAACTTTTCAGTTGTTTTATATGTAAATTGTATAACCGTACTAAAGAAGAAAGTGTTAATTTTATATTAAAATAAATATAAACAATAAATGGAGAGTTTAAGTTAAATATATACTGGTGCTTGAAAGTATCAATTTGCATACTGTAAATGCAAATTCGACTCTATAAATTAATGTTATTTTACTTGAGTTTGTGACATCCCACTGAATTCTTTTTAAATTATAATAATTAACACATTGATTCGTTGAAATTCAAAACCACAAAAATTATTAAATAATTTTGTATTAAATTCAGTTAATTTATTTACGAATTCGTCTTATATATATATATATATATATATATATATATATGCAATTATTTTCAACAATAAATAATATTGATAATATCGTTTATATTCTAAATATAAAGAAACATTTTTTTTATAATGAGCTGACAAACCGAAATATAGAAATTAATTCAATTTACAGGTAATCGCTAATGACAGTTCACCAAATTATATACGAACAACGCAAATTATTATTTGGTCGATGCACTATGTAATCTTATCCTAAGTATTTCATTTTTTCATAATCATTCGAGCCTTACTTCGATATACTAAGTTTATAGATTCTTTTGTATATAGAATAGAAATAAGTCACGATTATTATTATTGATTGTGTTTGCCAAAGGGCAAGTTTATATGCTACGCGATTTAATAATTTGATTTGCATTTTAATCGTCACATTGTGCGATTAGGTGGCTCGATCGCCCACAGGTGATTGCACATTTATTAAGCGATGGAACTATTCGTGCACATAATATTAAATACAGATTTATGAAACAGTAATGCTAAAAAAATTCCCTTGCGTTTTTTTTCGAAAGGAATAGATTTTGATTTTTTATCGTTGCTTGAGTGAAAATACAAGTGTAATTATTATTATTACAATTCAGTACGGCTTTATCAAACATCTGTCTAAAAGGAATTTAATATGAAAGGAATAATAATTGAAACACTGAATTAATCATTGTTTTTAAGTACATCATACATGTTTGTTTTTATTTCGAAAAACATGTTTTAATGCATAATATTATACATTCAAATTCTAAAAAAAGACAAAAATCATATTTAATGTCGTATAACAACAGGAGCAAGTTAATTATTCATTAAATAAATATAGATATTTATTTTATTGTTCTCGAACTAAGTTGAACGTACTAGTTGTAAGATTTTCTATAAATTCAATTAATCACTTAGTATGAGAAAGTGATTCGATTAAACTCTTAAATAAAATAATTAAGACGCATTATCTACATCAGTAGAATCATGCAGAATATAATATCACTGATAAAGCTTATTTTTATATAAAAATTTATTTACATCTAAAAGAGATTTGACAGGTAATAAATGACTTTATTTAGAGAAACTTATTTGCAAATAAATCTTATAAAATGCTTATAAAAATTATTTTAATATATGATATTATGAATCATGAGTAGCATTTGATATATACATATATACATGTACGTATGCATGTATGTAATTATGTATATATAAACATTTGTTATTTCATTAAAATAATTTAAAAATATATCGCGTATTTCATAAGTAATAAACTATTACGAGTGCTATAAATAATTATAAAAATTACAAAAATTAAAATTCTCCTTAGACCATCAATTTTTATTTCATATATTGATATATGAATATAATTTTTATAGAGACTTTTATAAAGAAATATATAATTAAAATTAATGACTAAAATTTAAATTTTTTTATTTAATTTTATTTATTTGTATAAAATATGACATATTATATAAAAAAGAAAAAAAAAAAGAAATAAAAAATTTGAATTTAGCTTTAATCGAGTTTCTTCATAAATACATTTATTGTATTTTAATGTAAGTATATTTACATTATATGCAGAAACTTTTAATAACTAATTTTTTTTTTATTTTTACATTAATAGCCTTTAAACTGTTTCCAATTTGTTCGTGTCATAATTTCTCTAATACTCTATTAATATAGAGATTTTTAATCCGTACTAACATGTTTCTTTTTGCTTTTTCTGTGCATATATGCACAGTTTGTATAAGTCTATTTATTTACTTTATCAAATAACCGTTGCACAGTATAATTATGTATATAGATATAAAATTGAATCAATTTCATCTTGATGAAGCTTAACTAGCAATTAATTATTCAAAAATTTCTATTGAATTTAAATACTCTTTTTTTTTTTTTTTCTTTTTTTTTTTTTTTATGAACTCCTAGATTCTTTTAAGACATTATAAAACATCCAGTGGCCAAACATATTTCACCCTACACCTATTTATATAAGTGCATTACTATTATTAATATTATTATATTATTATCTTATATAAAAACTTGCGCTAACCCACGTGTAACTATTGAGCAAAAGGTATAAATAAAATCACGTAAAAATTATTTACCGCTGCCTATGGTGAAACTCAAACTTTTAATAGTCTTTCTCACTCTATTTTAAAAACGAACCTTGCAATAATAAAACCTCTCCCACTTAATTAATATGAAAATTAAAAAATTTAAAACTACTCGGACGTGTATTTGTCTTCGGTTTATCATTTCATCAAAGACTCAATTTAACTATAAAGGAACACCTCCAGTCCCACAGGTCAACATTCTGATTGAAATTATAAAATAATATTAATTTCCCTGGACAATAAAGCCCAAAGTAGTCTTAAATTAATGATTAAATTAATTAATGGTATCGGTCCAGGTAGAGTATCCAAGTGCAAGTACCTGCATCTTCGAGGTTACCAAATCGGCAATGTGGCGACGATCCTCCTCCTGGGTATCGCCCATGAGTGAGAGGGCGCTATCGTTAACTTCGATGATGTACTCTTTATTGTTCTGGCTGACCAGCAGCTCGATGGCGCAGATGTCCAGGCCACCGAAAAGCTGGGATATTTGATCGATCCAGGAGCGATGCTTCTTCGATATGGACATCTGCTCGAGCATCGCCGAACCCGTGTTAGACTTCCAGTTGCCCGTGATACTTTTGCGTCTGCCCCGATAAATCATTGATTCATTAACAATTTGTAGCGTTATTGGTATGCTCAAAGGTATACATTGGTCTGGCAGGATGTTTTTCTATTATCCGAATGACCAGGGCAAGAAACGAAAAATTCTGTTTTAAAGACATTTTACAGTTTCGGGAACACGATTTTCATAAATGCTATCGCTTAATTAACTCGGGCCCTATTAACATTTATATGTTATTTAATGTTCAATGAGTTGTTTAGGGTGAAACACTTATGTATTCGTATTTATTACAATGTTTCTCACAAAGTCCTAACGTTATTTCCAACTGAAGTGAAAATTATAATCAAAGCAGCGCACGAAGAGAAATTGCAAGTCTGAAATTAGCGCGGAATTAATTCCTTTTTTTTTTCTTTTTCTTTTTTATTATGTCTTACAACAAACAATGTGAAATCTCAAAATATTAAAAACAATCGGCAATTATACTCTAAATGATAGTAAAGTTATAATAGTATTTATCATTATGTATCATCGATTAAATCACAAAAATAATTCTTTTTCTCATCCATCCGTTGATCATAGAATTTTCTAACTCATTTATTTTAAAGACTGAGAGTGGTGATGTTTCAAATTATTATAATTTTTTGTTATAATGTTTTAATTTTTCACATGCATTTATGATTAATTGCTGTGATAATTGTAAATAATTGTATAAAATTCAAACAATAAATGTAAAAAATACAATTGTATTCGAATGAGAATTTCAAAATTATGTATAATAATAAATTAATTGACATTAACCATTTGATGAGAATTTTATAAAATTACCACTGATATTCGGTATATTATCCTGTAATATTTCATTATAATCGTAATAAATATTCGAATCATAATACAATGGCACCATTATTATAACAATATATTTTAATAATTATATTTAATGAAATCTCCTAAATAAATTGAATATGTGCTTTATAAACATAACTGACACATTTTAAATAAGAAGAAGTATTATATTATTTGTTTAAATTAGATTTGCTAATCGATTAAATTTTTTTCAATCTCTCATGAAATATGAAATCCAATTGAAATATTCAAAAATATGCGAATTCCGTGTATATGCAAAATTTTAATATATAAATTAATCAAGTGTATAACAAATAATTTTATTCCCCACTTGAATGTACTAAATTTAAAGAAATTAAAAGATGCTAGTGACAGTAAAATAGGCTCGAAACAATCGCGTCCTTTAAATTAAAATATCACAAATGTGAATGTACTTTCTTTCATTTAAATTGCACTCACTTGAAGGCCCTGTAATTATTCCCAATCTTCTGCACGTGTAGATCACATTTGGTATGTATGTACGGCTCGGCGGTGCAATAATGGTTGGTCACAGCTACTAACGATGCTAAATCGAGGAATTCCTGGTTGTTGTTGGCTCTAGCCTTACCAACACCACTATGCGCGTGTCCCAGTTTTACTATCAGTGGATATCCCGGTGCGCTTACCTAAAATTACAAAGTCAAAAAGAAAAATATGACCACTGCGTGATGAATTGATGTTTCATTTTTTTTTTTCTTTTTTTTTTTTTTCTTTTTTTTTTCCTGAAAAATAAATTTTAGGGAAATAATATTATAAGGATATATATTGTAAGAAACATTATAGAATTAACTGGTAATGCATTTATTATGATATATTATTAATATAATTGTTATTTGGATTCGACATTCGATTTCATCATTTGAATACTGATAAAAGCAACAATATTCTATATGAAATGTTTAATTAAACAATTTATCTGCATAAATTTATGATTTAACGTGTGTTATTCTAAGTAATAATTTAAAAAAAAAGAACAACTTGATTTGAAAATAAAATACTTCTATACAGTCTTAATTGTTTAGTGCGGTATATAAAAATTTATAATCGTTCATGAATAACACATAAATTTCAATAAATTTTATATAAACTATTAATGAAATTGACTTTATATTCCAAGAATTAAATTATTTGTTTTATTGATTAATTATACTAACACTTTAATATAGTTTTATTTGATTATTATTTTGTAACTTCTTTTCTTATGCAAAGCATTCAATTCGTTATAAGAAAGCGATCATTCATGGCAAATGAAAAAGTCATTCTATTTAGAACGTACTAACAAAAATAAATATTAAACAATAGATTTAAATAATTAATTTTTAATTATTATAAATATCGAAATTATAAGTAATCGTATGTAATATTTTAAATGCCTTTAGAATGCATATTAAACTAATAATCTTTTTTTTTTTTTTCCAGGTATTCAATAATTACAGATCCCATGAAAATCTTACCAATAGAATTATCGCAAAGTAATCACAAAATTTACTAATAATGTTAGAGTAATGTGAGATTTAAAAACAAAAACGAAAACAAAAACAAAAACGCCCAGATTTGTAAAACATATTAAAAATTTATTAAAATATGAACCGTGCATTATAGAGTAGAAGGATTGAAATTTTTCTTTAATTATTCGATTTTCTGCAATGTTTTATAATTATGTTATATTTGAATATTTCAAAAATAAGTTTATCTACCTGAGCAGCTGGCGCTCGTAGTTTCTCACTTTTAAAAAGTAAACGGGAAAGTCTTGTTCAATCAAGGGAAACGTATAGATGTGTTACGTAAGTTTTTAACAGGTTTTGCCTAGTTCTTAGAAACTCTTTGACAAGGAAGGACTATTACGGTTCAATAGTTTAGGTAAAAAATTGAAAATTGTGTCATTTCAAATTAAATACTTAGAGGAACAAAAGAAGGAAATAAGGAAAATGTTAATTTTTTTCAATTAATTCTGTTATTCAGCCTTTTGCTTGATTATGTTTTATATAAATCACGATGACTATTGGAAATCTCAAGTTTTTCATTAAAAATTACGATCATGTAATAATATCTATTTTATAATACAAATGAATATCCTCCTTTTTATTAAGGCTTATCTCTATGAAAATAATGTATTTTTAAGTGCAGTTTTGCTGCTTTAATACTTAAACATATTCATGCCAATGCTGATCAATATTATTTGTTAGGGAAAAATTACTAATTACTTACTTCAAATAATTTATTAATTATAAATGTGAATTTCTTAAATTATAAATGTAAAATCGTGATTATATTATAAATTAAATTTTTAAATGGTATATATTTTAAGAAAAATAATAATTACGATGCATTATATTACATTAAGATTTGATCAACATAGATATTAATGTCATACTTAACAAATTCTTTTAATTTATATTCAAGTGTTACGTATTTAAAGGCATTGATACAAACGTAAACACTTGGTAATGTAAAAACAAATTTCTCAAAAAAAGTTTATTATGAATTTTTTTTTTATATTTTTAGTTCTAATTACTAATTATATTACTATGAGCTGACAATATTACGTCAAATTGATTTAATTTAAATTTTAATGAACTGTTTTATAAATAGATCATCATTTTATTATTAATACATTTTATAACTATTATTTATCGATGATTTATTAATACATTTATTGTATTTAGTCATTTTTATCACGATAGTAAAAATCAAATAATTCTTTGTTAAGAGAAACATAGAATCTTATAAAAAAAAAAAAAATTAATGAAAGTACTGTGCCGGTTTAAAAACAAATTATTAAGTAAATCGCCGATTATATTCAAGAATAAAGCTTTTTCCATTAGATATAGAAACTTCTTGGCCTCTGCTAAGCTTCGATAATCATTATTTAAAAAAAAAAATCTTTACCAATATATTTATTTAATATATTTTGAAAATAAATAAATAAATATATATATATATATATATATATATATATATACAAAGTACAGACTGCATGCATACATATATCTAAACATTATAATTTATTAATATTAATTACATAAAGACATATAATTAATATTAGATATAGAATAGACTTTTCATTTAAAATTTTTATTTGCAATATTATCAAAGTAATTATCGTATGTTCATTTAATAAAGAACCTTTATTAAAACTTTTTCAATATATTAAATTTCAATATAAATATTACTTTAACTAATCACATTTTATTCCATTGTTAAAAAAATAAATAAATAAACTTTTTATTACATTAAAGAACTATTTATATTTTATATTTTTACAGAAGAATTCCTCTAAGCTTAAAAAATTTTTAGGGTGAAAATCAATTTTTTTCTTTAATAAAATTGACAATTTTTAATTTATTTATTAAATTAATTTTGTAAGCAATTGCTTTTAATAGAATGATTCTTGATAATGAAGAAATTGTATAACTGTTAAGCATAATTTAATGCTTTATATTTAAGACTTAATCAATCATAATTTTTCTTAACAGAATTATTTCGAAGGAAAAATTCAATAACTAAAATGAAATTACGATGAAGTTTTAAAATTAATGATTGTATTAGATTAATATTAAAACTTAAAACACATTGTTTTAAATATTATTATCATTATCAATATGTGCATACTTAATTGTAACATAAATTTAATTGTCATATAAATGCCTTTATAATTTTACGATAATAAAATTTATCATACAAAGTCAACATTCGCTATTCCTATTTCATATTTCGCATTTACAATTACTTTATCACAGTATAAAGGGCGACGAAATAAATCTGAATTATCTATTAATTGTTCAAGATTTAAATTCGAATAGTCATTGTCAATTTTTTCTGATTTCCTATTAAGTTTTTAATAACTTAAAATTAGTATTAAAAGTGTATTTTCATATTGTAAAAATGTAGTTTCACCTTGAAACAATTAGCTTTCTTTTTATATGTTTTTATTATTCATTAATATACCGATGCATTTGTACAGTAAATTTACAATAAAATAATATTTGTTAATTAATAGAAAAATTTCTATAGCGTAACTACAATAACTGTAATAAATTATTATTTAATGTAGGATTTAAATTGTATACTTTTATTGAATATCTTAAATAAATATTGGAGTATAATATTAAAATGTAATATTGTATATTTATTTGAAATATGGTAATTTGCAATGTTTGTATGCTTTTGTTATTAGTATTATTGGAATATAATTTATAAAATTACCTCCATGTCTTAAGATAAACAATACTTACTCAATTATAGTTGGATTCATTTTTACTCGTCTTAAAATTTGTCAGCGAAGAACAATGTTATTAACAAAGAACAAAACAAAAACGAAATAAAAAAAAAAAATAAAATAAAAAAATAATAATAATAATAATAAAAAGAAAAAAAGAATGGAAAAACAATGGGTTCAACCTTGATATAGAAAGAATCTCCACAGATTATCTTTAGCCTCTATGTAACTACGTACTTTTATGGTAAAGATTGATCTTTCTTTCAAGGTTGGACTGAAACAGCAAGTTTTATCACTCGCTGTAACATTTTTCATGATTCTACAGACCTTTCTTGGAAATGATAAATATCTATAAAATTATGGTGTTTCTTTTGAATTGTGCTAAACAAATAATTTATAAATTTTACTGAAATATCTTTTCCATCCAAATTTTCTTGTAAATCCCTTATCAAGTGTTGCACAATTTTAATCGGCTCATTATATAACTAATGTTTATTAATAAAATACTTTTGAATTGAATTGCTTTTTAAAATTACATAAATATTATTTTTAATACAGGCAATAATATTTTATTGTAAATTTTATTAAATTAAAATTTTCATTCAATTATATCAGATTACTCAAATTACTCAAATTTTTAGAATATAATGAATGTAACAAATAAAATTTCTACAATCTGCTAATCATTTTTAAATAAAATAATATAAACATTATGTGATTAAGCTCTTATTTTTCTTTATTTGATAAAATTCGAAAAAATTTGACAATTTACAAATAGTTTTACATCAAAATTTCAAGTAAAATAGAAAATTGATTAGAAATTTTCTAATTTGCGTGGAATTTCTTGTATTATCTTTGTCATCGTGACTTTTTGTCAAAAAAATTCTTTTCCAGTCTATTTTAAAATACAAAAAAGTAATTTTGAAGTGTCAATTTTCAATAGTCAACTGAAGCTAAAATCAATAGATAGACATTTTTTTTTATTATATATTAATCGTTTTTAGATTGTCGTGATTTTTTTTTAAAGCTATGCACTTTAAAGAAACTATAAAAATCCATCACATTTATAAAAATATATATTACATTAAAATCCAACGTGAAAAAAAACGAAATTGTAGTATTAGAATTTTTACTCTTTTTAAACAAATGTCAAAAAATATATATTACATATATGTATTATTATATCATCATAATGTTTTGTATTTTCATTCTAATTTTGTGCATTTGCGTCCCTCTTGCTTTTCTGACAAAGACAGTAAATCCGAAATAAATTAATTTTCCAAACGATGTTTTTATACTTTGAAAGTTGTGTAAATTGTTTAAAAGTATTTAACAATAATGGAACGACAAATTTCTAAATAAATTTCCAATTGAATATCCAATCACTTTATTCAAGTTAAAATATTT